CAATAAGAATTTAAGTCGTTTGAAATTCACCGTCCTTAATTTTAGGAAGTTATTACCGTTTCGAAATCGTTTATTACGTTGAATGGAATAATTCGTTCCTACTACTTCATTGAAAACTAAAGCACTCCCACGCTTCTAAAAAAGTAGGTTCATTGATAAATCTACCATTATGATTATCTTATACCATTGTTTAAATACTTCAGTAAACATTTTAATTTACGTTACATGCGAAATGGGTCTTGTTTTACCTTAAACTTAGATGCTTGGTGTACCTTGAAAAGATGAAATAGTTGAAGTTGTTTGAAGTAGTCCAATAGGGAAAACAACGGAATAGAGTGTATTAATGTATATTATACACCAAAGGACTATACTTACATTATACAGGGTGGGCCATTAATGCATGGGTGGATTTATTAACGCAAACATTTAAAATTCATGGTATAGAAGATATTATCTGTATCTGTGATGCTCTCAATCGATTTTTCCAAAGCATTTGACTGTATTAACCATGAACTTTTGGTAGCCAAGTTGCATTATCTTGGACTTTCTTCTACCGCTACTAATTGGTTTAAAAGCTACTTACAAAATCGAATGCAGATGGTTAGAACTTTGAGGGATGGAAGCTACAGTGATTCTAACTTTTTACCTGTTAACATGGGGGTTCCGCAAGGATCTATCCTCGGACCGCTTCTTTTCTGTTTATATGTTTTCGATATGGATACGTCTTTAAACGGTTCCTACATCCACAGTTACGCGGACGATACATACTTAATCTATCCTGTCCATCGAAACAATCTAAATTACTCTCTGAGAAACTTGAATGAGCAGTTAAATCGGTTCGAGAGATGGTCTGAGAAACATTCCCTAAAGATAAATCCTTCTAAATCTTCTCTGATGCTATTGGGAACACCAAAATCTGTTACTGCATTGTGGGAAGATGTGGACCAAAAATTATATCTAAAAGATTCCCCACTTCAATTAGTTAGGGAATCTCGTAGTTTAGGAGTAGCAGTGGATTGTCACTTAAAGTTTTCCCTCCACGTCAATAAACTGATTCAAATTGCTTACGCGAAGCTTAAATGTATATATCGTTTCAAATACGTTCTTCCACTAAAGGTCAAGTGGCAGCTTGTGGATTCTTTAATACTGTCAACTTTGGATTATTGTGACACTGTCTATGGTCCGTGTCTAACTAGTGCAAATAAGACTCGCCTGCAAAAAATCCAAAACTCTTGTGTCAGGTATGCGTTTAACATTAAGAAATATGAACATATTTCCCATATTTATCAAGCACATAAAATTTTGAACATGGGCGAAAGACGTCATTTACATCTTGCATGTCTGATTCACAAAATATTAGTATCTGGTGAACCTTTATATTTGTATAATAAGTTAAAATTTCGAAGTAGTATTCACGATCGTAATCTCCGTAACCCATTCTTTCTTGACATACCAAAGCACCATAAAACCCAGTTTCATGGTGCATTTACTTATTTTGCACCACTCATTTACAATAACGTTCCGAACTTTCTTAAATTATTAGTCCCAACGGTTTCAAAAAACACCTTAGAGTACTTCTTTATCACTGAATCATATATTTTTTTTTTTTTAATTTTTAATTTTTTTTTTTTATTTATATATTTATTTTTTCTTTTTTGCTTTACTTGTATGCTTACTTGTTCTCACCTGGGCTATCATACCATATTAATTATCATAAATTGTTTTAAATACTCCATCATGTTTTTGTACTTTTTTCTGTATCAAGGTTGGGATTAATAGCAGCCTTTGGCTGACACCCCGCCTAAATAAAGCCGTTATTATTATTATTNTGTACATACTAAACGAGTTAAGGAACAAAACTGTCGAACAGTTTTTTAAAATAACTTTTCAAACAAAAGTTATACTCATTTGAATGTTGGTCCTTCGGGTCGCGAAGTGCCCCAAGCCTACTAGTAAGCCATAATTTCGCATGTGTTGGTTGACAATGTCGCAAAAACAAAAGATTAACGGTTTGAGTCGATATTTTGTTATTTGGAATTAATTCGGTCATTAAATGATTAAAAAAATTCGATGTATCGATTAAAACACCTACCAAGGTATCTTAAAGCGCTGATCGATTGTTTATTATCTAAATAAGGTAGGGGAAATTTGTCCTTAAAAGGAGCGTGTTCTTTTGGAAGTTATTTTTCAACCTAAGATTATGAAAATTTTTGATCATAATGAAAAAGTATCATACGGAAAGTGATTTGACTTTTTCCCCTACCTTATTTAGATAATAAATAATCGATCAGCGCTTTAAGATACCTTGGTAGGTGTTTTAATCGATACATCGAATTTTTTAATCATTTAATGATCGAATTAATTCCAAATAACAAAATATCGACTCAAACCGTTAATCTTTTGTTTTTGCGACATTGTCAACCAACACATGCGAAATTATGGCTTACTAGTATGCTTGGGACACTTCGCGACCCGAAGGACCAACATTCAAATGAGTATAACTTTTGTTTGAAAAGTTATTTTAAAAAACTGTTCGACAGTTTTGTTCCTTAACTCGTTTAGTATGCACACAACAAATTTCGTGGAATTATCTCTATTTTCGTTGTCCCGCCAAGAATTGCAGTGGAACTTTTTTTTTCGAATTTTCAAAAACTAATTTCAGATTCGTGATTTTCATGTTAAAAAAAACCCCAGATACCAAATTTCGTCGAAATCAGAATTTTTTTTTGCACCCTAGTTTAGGGGTGCGCCCTTTAGGGGTAGGAATTTTGAAAAAAAAATTGCAAAATCGGAAAGAGCATACCCAAAAACCTATTCAAAGACATGCCACCCGACTTTGTAACTCTTATGGTTGCTGAGAAAAAAATTAAAGAAGAAATGCAGATTTCAACACTCTTTGGGGGGTGGCTCCCAAACGAAACACGTTGGACCCTCGGTTTATTTGGAAAAAGTGCTTGTTTTGATGCCCTCTACAACCCGATTTTTTTTTTCGAACGGTCGTGTAACACCCTGTATATTTATTATTTTTTTTTTTTTGCTTTACTTGTATGCTTACTTGTTCTCACCTGGGCTATCATACCATATTAATTATCATAAATTGTTTTAAATACTCCATCATGTTTTTGTACTTTTTTCTGTATCAAGGTTGGGATTAATAGCAGCCTTTGGCTGACACCCCGCCTAAATAAAGCCGTTATTATTATTACATTATTACTCCGGTAATCATATACCGCAATTTCAATATCAAATTGTGACCGGGTAATAATAAATGCCAGTTAGCTAATTTAAAGATACTCGTTCAAAACTATGGCGCAGAAATGATCGTTTAAAACCGCACAAAAGCAGCTACGAGGAAATTACTTTTTACTAAGAAGTGCTATTGAAATTTTGGATCGAGAGACCTTATAGTAATGACTACCGTACGTGTACGCCCTACAGCCCGCATACTAAACTGTGCATGTCTTGGACCAATTGACAGTTCTTCTTCTCTTGTTCTCTTCTTTTGAAAAGCAGCAGCAATTTGGAAAGTTGGATGGTGGGTCGGCTTGTGCAATACAATCGGACTTTTGTATCGCCTGGTAAATTTGACTGCTCGTTGGAAGGGAATCTCGAAAGATCTATGACAATTTGAATCCGGAACAAACCGTGCGTCAGGTTTCTGCAACATTAATAGCTGAAGTTTGGTATTTAATTTGGAATTAATTAACCAATGTTCCGCAATTGGAAAAGGTCAAACAAATTTACCCGTATCTTGGGGTTTGACAACTAGCAAAAGCAAGAATAAATTGAGTAAAATCTACGAACACCCCGTATACAAGAGAGGTGCGCAGTTTTGATTAAGAGACTTGTTTATAATCGTCTAGCTCCAAATGCAAACACAATGAACGTTCTGCACTTTGGACCACAACGCTTTCGTGGCAACTAATTATTCAAACGCGAGCACGCTAGTTCGATAAATTCATAACGCCCCCGCGACAATAATTTCGCCGATATTAGCCGTACAGTTTTACTTTAAAATTTCAGTAAATAGCTTCCTCTTTCACAATAAAATATCACGTTCGAATACGCGGCTCACAAATCTTTTTTAAATTCTAAAATACAGCTTTGGTTTAAACGAAAGCTTGGCGAATATTACGCGATTTAAAAATGCCGCGTAACTCACATAGTTAGCTTCGAAAGTTTGGATAAGAATGCCTCTTTCCCACCCGATTTTTTCTTACATACCCGCCGAAATAGACCCAGCGCAAAACCGATTTCAGCTATGTTTGTATGCATGTAGAGGTATAGCAGAAACGTCGTCCCTCATACTCCGCTACAACGGTTTATAGAAGCGGCAAACTGTGGCGTTTGGACTCTTATCTGGTTTTACATTTGTTTATTATCTTATTTTCTCGCATATTAGTTGTTCTCTTTCATTATGAAGCGGTACACGTATAAAATTTCCTGTAACGGCAACTTTGAAAAATTAAAATAGACATTTTGTAAGCCTAAACTGACGACCTGTTACATAACGTATAAAAGTACAGGAAAAACAATGGTAAACTTACTCTCATCGTTTAGGAAGCGTCTAATTTTAGTTTGTTATTTTGGTTCTTTCGTCCACGGAATGGCATGACGTTACTAGGAACCTTTTTGTGGTGATCCGGTAAAATGAATGGTATATCGGCGGAAATAAGTCTTTTCTGTCGCTTAATTTGAAAGTTATTTATAAGGTTAATTTCTTTGCACAAAATGAACATGATATTGCGATCCGATGTGAAGAGGTTAATAATTGGTCTAAATTTTGTTTGAATGTGAATAAATTCGATGAAATTTTATGGTACCTTCACATTGCTTGTGTCACATTGTTCCTTTACGTCCATAATTTAACAACCTAGTAGTAATCTCGCATCACGTACTTCTTCAATACGTATTTGAAATGTGCATTGCACTTTAAACCACTGTGCGGTTGTAAACAAATAAGATAAGTGCAAAGTAAAAGTTTCATTTCCTTTTTATAGGAGCAGCTACGAAGACTCCTTGAACTCTGAAAATCAACCAAAACTGCAACACGACAACGGTGCCGTGCATAACTATCGAGTGTGCCGTTCAACAACAAAACAACAGCGTCGTAAAAGGAAGAAGACGACGACCTCCGAAGGTTTGGGACAACGGCCGCATACCGTCGCATTTTTAAATCCGTATTCGCGCCAAATTTATCCCAACTCTTCTTACTTATTCCCAAGACCTTTTACTACGACTATGGTTGCACACGGTAGAAATCCGTCGTGACTATTTTAGTAAGATTGTAGATTTATGTATTTGTGTCAGATGTATAAGACTACAAAGCTCCATTGTCATAGTGTTACCAAATCCCTGTACGTACATCTTGTACTTGCATTTAAATCTCACGCCTTTTGTGAACAACGTATTTACTAGTAACCGTCTTATAATGGGGTTAACTTGCATCTAGCCTATAATTCCCAAAACACCGCAGAAAACAGAATTTATCAGCTATGTGACATCGTTTAAGCCGATCTGAAGGAACCGTCGCAGTAGTGTGGTTATATCGTGAAAAAATTGAAAACTTTCTAACTTATGTATATAAATAGAATTTAGAAATGTAATTTTTCCCCCTTGTACATAATATATAGCATTAAACAACTCTATTTTCGATTGTGTTCAGCCTTTTCACCACACTCTACGACCGAATTGACAGGTAAGTACCTACACCTGTAGCAGCTCATTTCCCTCCGATTATTCGATGAAATATGTATTGATCCTTTTTTTTTGTATTATTTTCATTCATTCCAGCAACCTCGTATTTGAATCATTACTACACTCCTTTTCCAGCTCACGGATCCTTAAAACGATTTAGCTTGGATTTCAGCTTATTATTATTCGCGAGACATCTGCTGCATTTATTTACTTTTTATAAACGGAGCGTTGAAAAATCGGTAGTAAGTAAAATAAAAAATAGGTTTTTTTCTGAACACATTATTTTTTATATTAGCCTTCGAAATGAATTTTAAGAGCTTTGTTTTCTAAACAAGTACATAAATGATGGATTAAAATGTTAGGATGGTAACCAAAAAGCCCGAGTGCGAAGAGTTTAAATGTTGACATAACCAATAGCAGTATAATACCCATCAGTCCACATACACACAAACGTTACATGATCACAGTTTACCAAATTACATTAACGATGAAACAGATTTACATTAACTACATTTTATTATTGATGTTTTTTTTTTCTAAAATTTAGCACAAAAGCACACAACAAAAAGCTTTACCTTCGGCTTGCAAAAAACGCTTTATATGTCGTAGGCATAACGTAGGTCGTAGTACATAATTGATACTATATACAAGGAAATTGTTCCCCAAACAAAACTAACATGGCAGCTACATGTAACGAATGCTTTAGATTTGATTGATTTTTTTCAATTTTTTCGTAGAAATAAGTAAAGGAGAAATTTTCATGTTAAATTAATCAGAGAGTTTTAAATCATTCCCCCAGATGAATAATGGTTTTGGTAACCTTTGGAACAAGCTGGATAATTGCAATCAACGTACGTGCGTTTTCTTCAACGCTGTTTCGTTTGAATGATTAGAAGTGGGATAGCGCTGGAACGTCTCGGATTAGTGTATCGGAGTTCATGATTTCTATTAGGGTGATCAGGTTCAGAATAGCAACGCTGCATGATGTCATCGTCTCATGAAAATCTTAAGTGTGCAGTTTGTGTTCACGTGGGAAGACCAAAAACGCGTTTGAGATTGGTAGTATTCAAAAGCATTAACCGATGAATGGTTAAACATGTTCATATAGAGTGACTATTCGCCATTTTTGTCATGAAGAATGGTAGTACGGAACACTCGTGTTCTGACTGCAAAAGATATCACTGCGGAGTCTTATGATTTGATTTGATTAATCATGGCCAAAGGTAATAAATAGTCCGGTGATTTCTTAATAAATTAAGGCGAACGTTTTTCGATCACGAGTTAACAAGGGCGTAACTGCCCGTTTTTACTAGAAGAGCCAAGTGCCGTGCTTTTCGAGTTGAAGGGATACGAAAGTTTAAAATTCAATTTAGAATTGTTTTTAAGGAAGAAACTGGGGAACCAGTACATGGAAAAACTGCGACAGAAATTGGGCGTCACCCATGACAAATTTCGCGATAATGTGCAGTTAGCTGGCGACAGAATGAAAGTGCAGTACAACGTGAAGGCCCAAGCTGGTGGTTATGAAGCTGGAGATCTGGTTTGGTTGTATCGTACACAGAAGATAATTATGCGGGCTATCCCCGTAATTGCAAAGAGCTTGGGAAGAACCGTATACAGTCGTGAAGAGAATAAAATAATGACTTAATATATCAGATACGGAAACTACCTCGAGAAACACCAGTGGTAGTGCACATAAACCTGTTGGCACCATACGCGGGACAGAACTCGCCACAGGAACAGGAAGCAGCGAGTGTGATTCAAGCGAAATCACTACAACCCACTTTCGCCTAATTTATGGCACATTACTCAGGAACTCAGAAGGCATGCTTTGATGTTATCCGTGATGAATCTATAGATTTGTTTGAAGCACCAGCGGAATACGCTTTGGCTCATTGCATAACCACTGATGTATCCCAAAATATAGCCGTAGAATTGAAGTTCCGATTTGGGCCCTTAAGAGAAGTTTACCTTCAACGTCCCGAGGTGGATAAGGTGTGTTTCCTGCAGGAGGAGGGACGATCTCGTTACGAAGATCCAATCGTGCGTAATATGCTGCATGTGGTATTCCAGGGCACCGAGGTGGAAATATTGGTCTATTACTTTAACCCCAGAGGAATCGCTAAACCCATTCATAAGACGGTGGATTGTTTTTTCTTCAAAAATGGAAGATGCACGTGGGGGTTGTCGTGAAGTACCACCATCAAGTTCGCGTTACAAAACCTGGGACTGAGTCTCTGCTACCGCCGTCGTCCGTGTTGCGAAACCCAACAGTTTTAAGAGGAGTGCAGTGTAGCTAACCTCGAGGCGCCATGAGAGATTAGTCATCGGCGATAAGAGCGAAGGCGGATGTGACGCAATCCTTTCGGGAAAAATGACGTGTTTATTGTAGAACAGTCTGAATCATTCTAGAACATTATTATTATTATGCGGGTCACTCTGTAATTGGGCGCAAGCGTGTTGAGGGCCCAGAACAAGAGAGGGATTATAATCAATTGTCGTTTACTATATAAGTAAATTGTAGCGCATTTCAGTCAGTTCCAACTTCGATGCGCTTCTGATATGTTTTAAATTGTAAGTGATAAATTTGTAAATTTTACTGTTATAAATTAATTCATTTTAAGACTGTTATAAATTTATTGTTTATTAGTTGTAATAAATAAAACACGTAGTTAAACTTACGTTACATCATGAATATTTCTGTATGTGAACATCCCATATTTTACAAACGTTGGTACCCGATACGGCCATGTCCTAACCCCAAGATGAGCTTCCAGGCTGGTACCAATGAACCTGGTGGACATTACACAAAGCTTTTATACAGGGTGTTTATTAAACATGCGGCAAAAATTTAAGGTGCTATTCCTTGGAATATTCTAAGGATATTTTGTCCTTCGATGATTTTTGATATGGCGCTTTGATTCGAAGATACGGGGCGAAAAAGAATTTCGACAATAACAATTTATTACAAAAAAAATTACATGTAATGTGTCTTAATCTACATGAACTGTTCAAAATGACTACCCTCCGCTGGGATGCAAGAATTCAATCCTCTCCTCATCGACTCATGAACTCTTTCAAAAACACCAGAAACGTTTCTGATTGCGTTACACCCAGATCATCGAAGGACAAAATATTCTTAGAATAGTCCAAGGAATAGCCCTTTACGTTTTTGCCGCATGTTTAATAAACACCCTGTATAAGTAAGTACATACAACCAAAGCTAGTGCAAGTAGTCACTTTTTTTATAATTTACCGGCAATGTTAGAACGTTTATTTGAAAACATGACCAGTGGAGTGCAACTGTGTCTTGAACATTATGGTGGACATTTTAAACAATCATTGTATTGTAATGAAGTGCTTATGTAAACTTGTGCTTTAAAAATTAAGTTCTTTTATATAATTAATTGTGATTATTTTTAGTTGCCCATTAAATTTGATCTGCCACTGCTTTACTTTTAAATAAATGACATTTGGCGTGCTACCAAGTTTTTTGTTTTGCGAGAAATTCAAACGGTCCGCACTACTTTTGGATGTCTCACATGTTGACGAACTGACCTCATCGCACGGTATGTAATAGACGGGAAGGCCAATAAGAGATTTTTGCAATTTTGTATGACAGTGCAGGTGCAGCAAGTATGGCTGGAAAGTATTTTGGTTTTCAGGCAAAAATAATTGAACAAAATTAGTTTGCTATTTTTTTGCATGTGCCCACGATACACTCACAGTGTATCGTGCATGTGCCGCACATTCATTGAATTTAGTTTGTGTTCAGACAGTTGAATGTATATCAGAAACGAGGATCAAAGGCTTCACAGGTTTCGCAACCCATGCATCCATTGGAGACAGTGGAAATGATAACCGTGTAACTCCATATGTAAAACACAAATAACCCTTGTTCGCCTGGGATCACTTACTCTACGCGCTCGTGTCGAAAACGTAAACGTTCTTAATAATAAGTATCTGCAACTTTTCCTTAACATACCGGTTACGGTCGAGTACGGTACAATCGCTACTTGATGCGACAGCACTGTCTTTTCTGCTTGAACGAAACTGGTAACTTTATACCCATATACAAAACATAAGCATTTCCAATGCTAAAATGGGCAATGTAAAGCAATTGTGCTAACCAAGATATGAAATCGCATTCTTGAAATTATTCATAAAACAAGCATAACGCAGCAACGCCCGTAACAATGGACATTGCAGTAACACGTTTTACTTCTCTCTACGGATCGATCAACGCACTTCTACCACCCATGTTTCCTAATTTGGCAAAGTTTTTCTTTTACAAAATTAGACGGACACATGGCAGTATTTATCTTCACCGAAGAATATTCATAATCATTTATGATAAAATATGCTTCGGCGTTTTTGGCAATTTTTATAAGTGCCATAGCACGAGTTGTTCTAAAGACTTCACAATGCGTTGTGTACGTTCTGTTCGATAATGAGCACTTTCGTTCTTTGAGCCTAACACATATAATAATACTCCCTTAAGTGGTTAGACGCATACAATTCGATATACATTAATACATATTGAGATTGTTTGAATTCTAGCATCATACACTATTACTTGCCGAGGTTGTTACCTTCAATATTGTTTCCCAAAAGTTTCCGCAATAAAAATTTGCTCAATATCGAAGAGTAATTTAATTTATTGGCGCTATCTACTGCGACAAAGCGATTCGCATTGATCTGAACGATCTTCGAAGTGCGGATATAAAAAAAACACCTTTGTTATTATTATTATAGGCGCACCATTCAAGAATCAAACTTCGAGAGAAACTTAAAATACAAATCATGTGTGTGCAGATTGGGCGTTCACATTTGACACGTGTCCCGTTACTGTAAATGTATGACTATATTTGGATAAGAAACTTCTATCCACTTTGAAAAGGGATTTTACTTTCATAACTTTGACAGAAAGTTTGTGGCGGCAGGGGTTT